CTTGCGATCGTGGCGACCATCGGGTGGTGAGGCTAAGTACTTATCGGACCGCCCTCGTATGTAACCGTCTTGTACATAAAAATGGAGAAGTACACCTGAAAATCTTGTTTTTTGTTTTTCTTGAAAACAAAGATTTATGGAAAAGAAATCCAATGAGGTTTATATATATATTTTTTGGTCCTCTAAATTAAAAGTGTGTCAACAAAATCAGTTTGACAAAGGACTGTGGGATTGTAAAGTTGTTGTCAGATGCAGGGGAGTATTCAGTACAGAAACGTTTTCCTATATTCGTTCAAGTATGACTATATTCTCTTAAAAAAGAATTGATATTACGTTAATATTGAATGTTGATGTAATTCTGATGCCATACAGCAGGCCTGTCCAATAAGTGTTCTGAGGGCATTATGCATTCGGGCTTGCCACGACGCACGGTAGCAATTCGGGCAACGGTGGTTGTCACGGTATAATCAGTAAACACGAAGCCGCCTACCCTACGGTCCCTACGCACTTCACACTCTCTTTTCTCTGTCTCCGAACGTTCTCTCTGTTCGAGGCACTTCACATTTTTTTTCTCCCTCTTTGAAAATACCCTCTGTTCAACAGGTCACTTTCATTCATTCTCGAAGCAAAGACGTCTGAATATCATAGAATGTATTTACAAATTTTAAATAGTTATAGCAGTACACCTGGATAACATTGATAAGTATGTACAATACATTATTTACAATGCCTTCAAACGTAGCGTTATGTATATTTATTATGACCGCAATGCGATAGTATTTATGATTACTGTATAAGATGAGAAATTAATAAAATTATGTTTAATTGTATGATTATATACAAATTTTATATCAATTACATAAAAATAATATAACAAATAGATCCAAAATATTGTTGCGTCTTAGTTTTTCCTCGGGTTTCATTTTATTTATTATTAGATAAATTTCTAAAAGATTGGAAATAATATAACTCCCGTATAATTTTATAACGTACGGCATTCTTTATGTTGACATTGCCGGGCGATCATACTCGATTCTCGGGAAGAAATTTACAAAAGAGAAACTTGTTTATAATTTCTCATGTTAGAAAAATGATTTTTCAATGTAAAAAAATAGTATTCAAATAAGCCAAAACTTCTAGGATAAAACAAGTCACAAATGAACTTAATACGATAAATAACTTCCAAGAAAAAATTCATAAGTACTCCCGTTGCACGAAAATAGGCAAAAATTGCAAATTTTACGGCCTGTTCTTTTAAAACAAATGCGAAAGCAGCAAAATGATTACTTTATCCCCCCCCTCCCCCAACTTTCCTATTCTATTCCAAATCCCAATACTATGGTACTGCGATCATAAAAAATATACGAAACGCTACGTTTGAAACCAGTGTAAATAATATACTGTACAGAATCGATAATGTTGTCTAGGCGTACTAGTATAATTCCTATTAATAGCTAATATAATAGTAATCAGTATTGTTAGTAGGGGCATCGTCACTAGATTGAAATAAAAAAGGGTGTGTGGGAGTTCTCCTGGCAAGATTGAATAAAGGAAACGCGGATTTTGTTTATGACCTGCGTTGACTCGACATCGGGCAGTCGAACAGTCGAAGTTTTGTGAACGCTTGCCGATAAATACAAACAGCACGTCGTCTTTGTAGGTTCGGTTTACCAGACCTATCGCTTTAAGTACTTTTGCGCTAGGACGAAACGCTGCCACGAGGGTTACATTCTTGAACAGGCCTGCATAAAGCAATGACTATTACCAGAGAGGAAATGAAAGTGCTAACGCCCGGGGATTCGGTGTTCCCGGGCAAGTGCTGCTCCCCTGGTCCACATAAACATGGACAAGAATCCCTGGTCCACATAAGCATGGACAAGAAACCCTGGTCTACATAAGCATGGACAAGAACCATTGGTCCACATTAGCATGTATCAGAACCATAAAATTTCACAGCGGCAGCGAATACATATTTTGCGGCGATAGAGTAGCAACAGTTAAAAATACATAGCGTTTTATGAGACTGTTCATACGAATGCGAAAAATTTCCGCAAACAATTATATACTAACATATTATCGCTACGAATATTTCGCGTTGGTCTGTGAGAGCCTTAAATACATACTGATTGAATTATAAGCTTACGTATTGGTAAAAATTGATCTAATTTTTTACACTTCGTCCTACGTAATAACATAACTGTTTCACGCTTAAACAGTCGTGCTCTCTACGCGCGAAACAGTTATGCTTCTATGTAGAACGAAAAGTAAATAATGCACTAAAAGTACAGATTTAAATAAAAATATCGTTACATTTCATTCTAAGTACATGCAAAAAGTAATTCCTTTTAATTATTTTTGGATGCGAATAGAAATATAGAATCCAAAATATTATTTCATAGAAATAAGATGCGAATCATCTTTCAGTATAAATTCGTTGTACAATTATCTGAAAAACGATTTATTTTGACAAAAAATACTTTATAATACTAATAGATACGTTCAAACTTAAAAGAAAATTTTCATTTCTATCTGTATCCTTATTCGATGATTCATTCGAAGGCTTGAAACAATTTCGCTGAGTACCTTTTATTCAAAGCTGGGTCTCCGAACGTGAAGCAAACAAGGAAGTATTCCCTGTCTGCTAACTACATACATATAATGTAAGTATTTGGAAAGATCCGTGTTAAACAATACGGGGTTAAACTGAAACGTTAATAACGCCTTGGAATATGAGCTCCTTATTATGATATCCTTAACCAAAGCCTTGCATTTATAAATTAAAAAATAAACGGCTTGCTCAACTCGAATAAGTTAATGGTTTATGTAATAAAATAGTTTATAGCCTAAAACCATTCCCGAAAATTGCACTACACCATAACACCAACCGCATCGAAATTGATTCAGTAGTTCTTGAACTATAAGTGAACAGACGCATAGACTGATTTTTCGACTTCCTTGTACATGTATATGTGTATATGTATTATATAAATTGACCCAAATCATGGCAATCCGCGCGCACGGAGTGTCAGCGGATCACGGCTCATCAGGGGCGTTCAGTCACTTGAAAGACTCAACGACGTGCAGGAAAAGTCGGTAGAACAGCTGTTTACTTACCCCGTAGAAGATGTCGATAACTTGTGCCCACGGTATTTGACTCGAATCCACCTGTATCGCATTAACTCTGATTACTCGATAAAATTCGCAAGAAATGTAAATATCTTCTTACGAATATTATCGAGTAGAGAGGATTAATGCCCCCTCTGGTTGTCACGTATCACAATTGTCCTGTCCACGAGTATCCATGAAATTAATCCGCACACGCACGTACACCACAGAAGTCCGCGAAAGTGTCCACACACACTGAGCCATTGTCCCGTCCGCGAAAAATGTTCACACACTGCGCGATTAAGTAGACCCGCGAGCTGTTCCTCCGTTGGGTTTAACACTCTATAGGTTACACAAAACTAACACTCAAAATAATTAATTTAAAACAATTTAACAATAACTTTTATACTAATTTTTAACACGCTATAATTAATAAAACGTACAATATTTAATAAAATCTGCAATAATGAATAAAATCTACAATATTTAATAAAACTTGCAATAATTAATAAAATCTACAATACTTAATAAAACCTACAATAATTAATAAAACTTACAATAATTAATTTGCCCTATTTATAACGACGACATACGCGACACTACTAAATAATCACTACGTAATCGCTAAATAAACTAAAACTTAGTTTTCCGAACATGAACACTATTTGCTCATAGAATGCACAGGGCACCGTTCGGAAAAGACGACTGATATTGTTGAACTGATCCTCCCTCGTTAGGATCGATGTGGCGTAATAGGTCGATCCCCACTCTTTCATGGTCAATACTTTTTGGGAAGGAAAAACTGCATGGGAAAGTGTCTTGGAGGTCGCGTTTTGTTTTCGTATATTCTTAGAGCAACATCTGTATTTTTTTCTCATACACCACTCGGGGCCTCGAGGCTACTTGGCCACGATGCCGAGGATGTGCGAGTCTGGACATTATAAAACTCCCTCTTGTCTTCTGCAGGACGACCACCCGCGGATTTCCTGTAACGTCTTACTGCCATCGACGAAGACCTTGCCTATTGTGTTTTCGGCCGCCTATTGTAACGCTGACACTCCGTGCGCGCGGATTGCCATGATTTGGGTCAATTTTTAAATGCTTATAACTAACAAACGAAGCATTTTTCGCAATTTCGTTATTCTTGATTTTTGTCTTATTTTGCCTCAAAGAATTACCCCTGAAATTTTTTCCCACTAGTTGACGAACACCCTGTATAATTGTTTGCGGAAATTTTTCGCATTGGTATGAACAGTCTCATAAAACGCTATGTATTTTTAACTGTTGCTAATCTATCGCCGCGAAATGTGTATTCGCTGCGGCTGTGAAATTTTATGGTTCTAATACATGCTAATGTGGACCAATGGTTCTTGTCCATGCTTATGTAGACCAGGGTTTCTTGTCCATGCTTATGTGGACCAGGGATTCTTGTCCATGTTTATGTGGAGCAGGGAGGCAGCACTTGCCCGGGAACACCGAAACCCCGGGCGTTAGCACTCTCATTTCCTCTCTGCTATTACACAAGCAATCATAAATCTTTCTAAAACCAGATCCTATTCTCAAATTATTGTAGCTACAAAAACTGCATTTTTTAGAAACTTATATTGGAACCATTATATGGTAGTAAAATTCTTAATTAAATACACACAACGATTTATGACATTTTTTTTAACAAATGTTACATGATTATATTTCATTTTTAGGTTGCAAGGATAAAACTATGGCTCTTACATTAAGAGATTTGATACAAACATCATATTTCAGAGTTGTAGTTGTTGAAGATGTTGATTCAGTTGAATGTTGTGGAGCACTAAAGGTAATCATATTGTAATGTTCTTGAATATTCATCTACATGTACAATTTATGTATAATAAGTATTATCTCAGTAGTATCTAAATATTTACATTTCTTGCGTTGATAGTGAAAGGAATTACATTATCTGAAAATAATTTTAACAGTTTTAAACTCATAATATGTATACTAATATTTATGTGTATTTGATTTTTAACAGAACATAGTAGCTTGTGGTGCTGGTTTTGTCGATGGTTTAGGACTAGGGGATAATACAAAGGCTGCTATCATTAGGTTAGGACTTATGGAAATGATTAAATTCGTAGATGTCTTTTTCCCTGGTGGAAAGCTTTCTACATTCTTTGAAAGTTGTGGTGTAGCAGACCTTATTACTACTTGTTACGGTGGTCGGAATCGTAAAGTTTCAGAAGCATTTGTCAAAACTGGCAAGGTTAGTTATTATTATTCATGATAATACAAATGATATTAAAACATGTAAATTATTTGCAGACAATTGAAGAATTGGAAAAGGAAATGTTAAATGGACAGAAGTTACAAGGTCCTTTCACAGCTGATGAAGTAAATTACATGTTGAAAGCAAAAAATATGCAAAACCGCTTCCCCCTTTTCACAGCTATACATCGGATTTGCACTGGTGAGATAAATCCACAGGAACTAATTGAATGCATACGCAACCATCCTGAACACATGTAAGCCTAATTGTCTCCACTAAAACCAATGGTGGAGCACATAGTTAAAATATTTGACCTCTTTCCCAAAATGATATAGGCTGATAGATGTTTCATTTAGCACATTGTATAGATAATTTTTCAAATTTGTCCCAAAATATTTTTATGTCATAATTTAATAATTCAGAATATCAACAAAAAAATAATGTATAAATACATTATATAATATGATATTTATTACACTTAATTCATTGCACTTGTGATTTTTATGCAACATACAGATTTTACATTTGAATTTATTAGTAAATTGAGTATTTTAGTAATCTATGTTATTTACAATTTCCTGTATTTTCTGTTGTAATAATAATTATTTTAACCATGGTCCTAGTTATACTAATGATACTAGCGCACTCTTTGACTACACATATGTAAAAATAATTGGGTAAAACTGTGCTTACAAGGGAAGTTAGAGAACTCAAAAATTTAGAAAAGTAGAACCTTTGTCTATTTCTTGTACCATAGATCGATAGAGTATCAAATTCTGAGTAAAAATGTGTTGACCTTCATACATCTTAAACCTAACAGTTAACGACATATTTACAAAATAATCACTGTATTGAAATCGCTGTATTGAAGTTGAGGGGCATCAGTTCGAGCACATATAAATAGCTTCTAAATAGTAAGTACGTATTAAAACTTATTTTGTAAAAATCTCGTTAACTATTAAGTTTAGAACATATGAAGGTCAACACGTTTTTACTCAGAATTTCATACTCTATCGATCTATGATACAAAAAATAGGTCATTCTGTTCAAAAAAGTCAAGGTGACCTTGAAATCTTTGAAATGCTTCCACCTGATTGCCCCTTGATGCTATTTAAGTTAGCTGAGACATCCTGTATATAAATAATTTGTTATATTTTTTTGTAAATAAATAAAACCTCTATTATCGAATTTAAAGTTAATCTTAGAAATTTTTCTTAATCAACTGCTTGCATAAAGCAGTATTTAAACATTTACACTTTCTGTTTGCATATGCTTTGTTGTTTAAATATATATTGAAAAAGTTATACTCGTACAAAACGGTAAATACGGTAAATTGGTACAATAATGGTATTTTTCAAAGGAATATTTCAAACAGAAATACTCACCACACCATGCACATCGCATAGAAGCGGGACATTTTTTTACGTACGAATGTTTCGGTAATTACTTGTTATGTAGTTTTATAAATATAAATAAACATGCATCTTTTGTTTAAACGTTTCTTCGATAGCTGTCATGGTTCTCGAGATACTCCATGAAAAAGAAAATTCTGCATTTCTTAACAAGGAATGATTTGACTCTAAATCCTAGTACGGTCTAAAGAAAAATTAGTTTTGTGTTACGGATAAGCTACTCTACTTCCACACAAAGGATCATTGTTTTCTGAAATTTCGGATTCCCTAACTTCCCTTGTTCGTCGCTAAATATTAATACTATGTATAATATGTAAAAGTGTGTACATACATGTAAAAAATTAGTCAGTGTGCATTGTACAAGAAAAGTAGCTATATATTTTTCTGTAGAACCTGATTATAGTATTTATTGTATACAAGGTGGAACATGACTTATTTCTATCAGTAAAGTATATGACACACGTCAACATAAATTTTAGTGGCGAAACTGAAAAGGATGCATAAAACCATATCTGATATAGAGATCATTTTGTTTTTGTCAGAAAGATAACTTATGTATAAGTTAAACTGATCTGAAATGCTGCATTGTATGAAGCATTGCATTTTATTGATGGAAATAAACTAACAATATGTGTTTTAAATGGCAATGTAGGTGATTTACTTTGCATGAATGTTTATTGTTCTTATGCTTTTTGAGGGTGTATGAAATTTGGATGTTCAGTATGCAGTATCTTTTTTTTTTTTTAAATAGACAAATAAATATGAACATGTTTTTATTAAAGATCATATTTATATCACATTGAATGTTGTATTCTAGAAAATATAGTTTCTATTGCTTATTTTAATATACAAACTGTCACATAATATTATAGAATCAGAAAAGAAGAAGAAGATGGACCATGGTAATTAATGAATTTTATGATCTTTTAATAAGTGATCTTTGTAAAAGTTTTAAGTAACATTTAAATTGTTGTTTATGTCCGTCTGTTTGTTTTTAGTCCTTCCATTTATCATCCATTTTATGTTTTAATTACATATGATATATTGTAATACAAATAAGAATATTTTCAGTACACCCTTAACAACACTATTCACTTTTCTTGAACTATATAAAATATACATAAAAGGCATATGTGTATGTGCTAGTAAAATCTTCATATAATGAAGTGTTAGGTAATATATACAAGCAGAGTATGCGCTATTGTATATATTTTAATGAAAAATATATCAGAATTGTTATGTAAAGTATGAAGATTTTATGAACAAACATGTATCAGCGATATTTAGATTTTGTTGATTATTGTAGATTGTTATAAACTAAAAGCATAAATTGTTTAGGTATTATAGATTATTGTAAATTGTTACATTATGGAATCATAATTATCATGAACAATGTAATATGAAAATTAAATATATGTCTATTATTTGTTATCTTAACCATCTTTGTTTAGATTAGAATCATAATTGCCCTTATTCCAAAACCAACACCAACATTTATGTAAGAAATTATGATGACTCCACTGAAATATCACGTTGTATTTTAAATTGTTACAATTAAACAATATGCTAATGCAATGTGTTTGAGAATGTAAAAATACGTGATGTTTGATAGTAACGATTGTCGCGATTGAGAGATGTCTATTTTAATAATATTCACTTCATATTTAGGGACAATGACGTTAATTCATCAATGCTGCAGCTACCTGCACCGAAGTGCCATTTGTGAAGATGATATTGAAGGACAAAGAGGAGAGATGCTTCATGTATTCATGTCTAAAAAATTGTTATCAATTTATAGATTATTTTTGGAATGTGATGCATTATTAACACATTTAACACTCACACTAACTGGATATTGTGATAACAATCGCACTCATCATGACTAACTATGTTAACAATAGAGCAATCACTTTTCTTTAAAATCTGTTGTCAATAAATACTTCTGAAATATGTGTATATATCGGATTTAATTGACCTTTTTCTCTTAGGTCATTATAATTTTCAAAATCTATCGTTTTATTTGTAAATGAGTGTGATGTATTTATATTCAATGGATTTGTATATACCTATTTGTACTTACTTTTGAATTTTATACATTTTTTCAAATAAAATTGTTCATTAATATATATTGTGCTGTGTGGACTTTCATTTACCATTTTTTTTACACTCTCTAAAGTGTCATCGATTTCCAAAACGAAAAATTTAAAGTGAATCATGTAACCCTCGGAAGACGGGTGTTCTGGGAGTGACATAGCTGGCGGATACAGGGTCACTTTGACCCATAAGTAAATGTTTGTATGTTTTTTATGTCACATAAAGATATAAAGAGTCTGTGATCAAGGAATTTGACAAAACGATTTTTGAACAAGGAATACGACGATTTCTATAGTTGGCTAAAAATGACACTGCATCCGCTGTACAAGGGTTAATTCCATTATAAATTTTAAATTCAAGGTTAATTTATTTCATTGAAGCCTTTGTAACATGTCAAATGTATTATCAAACTATTGCTAATTTTAACTTTCAACCTGGCCACAGTTTGCGATTGCGTTCATGTTGGCCTTGGTCCACAGCGGCGTTCGCCAAGTGTTAGAAAATAATTTGTGATCGTTACTAAGGTCAAAGAAGGCTGAAGTTAGTTTGTAAGTTAATCGGTCAGTCAGTCAATCGTACATCGGCGCCTGAAAATAATCGGATTTGTGACACTGGCCTACGTAGTGTTTCACCTCCATACGATTTTTTGAACATTAATTCTGTGATATCATATACACTGCAAAATGACTACTCAGGCGAAGAAGAGGATATGTATTGTTGGAAGCGGCAATTGGTATCTATATTGTTTTATTATAACTCTTTCGTTAATTAAAATTTACGTTTTCACTTATTTTATGTACATAATTTTCTTCAATGGTGTCCATGAGTTTCCATGTAGTTCTTAATGCGTGAGAAGTATCCCTGATAACCAGTTGTGTACAAGTTCCGAGCAAATTGCCAGAAATAAAGTACAAAAGTTGTCTAAAAAACCATAGCCATCTATTTTCGCATTTGACTTGGGTTCTGTAGGCAACGCTAACTAACAAAATAGTAAAGCAAAATTGGTAGAAAGTCTTGCAATATGATCTATGTCAAATTGAGGGCAAAATCGGAACAAGGTTTGCGGAAGCCAATTTGCTGCATATGTTGCAGCCAATGTGCGTAAAAGTGTTTATAGCAAATCTTGCATAAAACTTGTAGCCATAACTTTGTAACAGGCATTTGGACAGGTCCTCGTTTCCGAATTGTAGCGAATTTTTTGTTGGGATAATTCTTTAAAGAACTTGAGTAATAAAATTGATAATCATAACAGATAATAATAACATTGATAATCTCATATTATTACACAAGACAGATTTCTCTAATGATGCTGTGTATAAAATAGAATTTGCTAATACTTGAAAAGAAGGACAAATCAGATATATGTGAATATAAACTATTTGTTTATTTGACAGAAATCAATTCTTGCAGCATATACCTTGTGTTAGAGAATTAATTTTATTAGTTATTTTTGTATACAATGGAAGAGTATATCTCATAAAAATAATTCATACATATTTCATGTTTTTTAAAACCATGTAATTAATAAATTATTTTTAAATGTAAGTATCTAATAATTCTTAAGTGATTACTTGACAGAGTATCCCAGTCAGACCAATCTGCACAGCCAGATTTTGTCCAATGCCTGGTATAAGCTTTTGTAACTAGAATGGCTACAGATTTGATGCAGGATCGGAACAGATGGCTATGGATCTGTTGACAGATTTCGTCAATATCTGCTGCCTATCTTCACACAAATTGTTTATAGAGATGTAATAAATATCCTTTTTTTATGAATAACTTCCAAAAATCGTATATAATAGCATATAGTACATAATAAAAAATTTAACTCCATGTACACTCACGAGCAAACTCGGTTTCCGCTAGGGGAAAAAGTGGCGTAGAGGAAGGGCCTCCTAAAATTTGATATCGGGAATTATTATAGTTTATGCCAAATTAACATTCGGTTTAACATTTATTTCAGTACTTGAATCAAATTTACCAAGTAGTATGCGGACCTTCAACTACGCCACTTTTTCCTCTAGCCGATTCTAGCGGAAGCCGAGTTTGCTCGCGGTGTATACCAGTTTTAAAATGAGTGTTTGTCGCACGGTCGCATAATTGGTTGATCGTTGGAAAATTAGGATATCATTAGATAATTTTTCTGTTATAGGGGATCAGCCGTTGCTAAAATTGTGGGCGCCAATGTTGTTAAGTATAACAACAAATTTGAAACACGCGTTACAATGTATGTCTATGAAGAGATAGTGAATAATCAAAAGCTGACTGAAATCATAAATACAATGCATGAAAATGTAAAATACCTTCCTGGACACAGGCTTCCAGAAAATATTGTGAGTCTTTCCTATTGTACACTTTTTCAAAATACACTGTGGCTAACAGTCAAATTTATGAATATTTGTTATGCCATAATAATATATACCAAATATTTTTAATTATATGACAATGAAATACATAAATTGCTAATATAGGGGAACTTGTAGGTATCCTCACAAGTGCTCACGAGCAAACTCAGCTTTCGCTAGGGAATACAGTGACGTAGAAGAAAAGTCTCCTAACACCACGTAGTACCCGCGAGCAAACTTGGCTTCCGTTAGGGGAAAAAGCAGTGCAGAAAAAGGGCCTTCTATCACTTGGTCTCGGTAAATATTGAAATTTATGTCATATTAACATTCAATTTAATATTTATTTCGATACTTGAAATAAAGATACCAAGTGCTAGGAGGCCTTTCTCTTATGCCACTTTTTCCCCTAGTGGCATCCGAGTTTGTTCGTGAGGGTACAACATTTGAACTGAATATATACGGAGAATATATAGGGAATATATACGGAGCGTGACTAACCGGTTTACATACAACAAATAATAAAAATATAAACTATATTAAATATACAACTACAATATAAAACAACAAAACAGCTAAATTACAACACACAACAAACGATTAATCTACGAGAACGATTGGCAACTCTACTTTCATTCAACAAACTGCTACAGACTGACCCCGAAACCATGCACTCTGCCAGCTGCCTACCCTCTCTTAAGTATCCACACCTACAACACACAACCACGCCTTACATCCCCTGCTCTCACTACGCAGCCATTCTTATAAATTCCAATCACTCAATACCCAGCCTAAAATCGTCATACGAAATCCTTCCGCACGAAAGTAAACAAATCTTCTCATTCAGAAAATATTTCTCATCAGGAAATATTTCTCATTCAGCTACAAACATACTTACGACCAATCCATGCCATATTCACTCACATACCACATACATATACATATACATATGTTGTATCATGTTATTTTTAAGTCAAACATATCGATATTAAACAGGCCTGTTTTTTTGTCATGTTCTTTCTTTTTTTATTTAAGTTTGGAGGGACTACTTGAATTTTTCAATTGAAAACGTGGAAATCTATTTCATATCAGTGAAACTACAGATCCTTGCTGACAAAAGTTAGAAAAATATCATTTGACCGACTGACATTGAGTCCGGAACCAAACGGTACATACGGGAGAAGTTACGTAATCAACAAAGATACCCGTAGATCGCCACCATTATATCACGTTAGTCGTGTATACTGACCGTAGGAATGAACGAGAAATAGTGTCGAATACAAATTTTACTATTCCGGGTGGTAATTTTTCCAGCAACCTTACTTTCGGTCCAGTTTTATCGACGTGTCCTTATGACTGGTCTCATATTTACCTACCAAACTATAGTGTTACGTTAGTGTTGGCTTTATAGCAGATTGCATTCTGGGAAATGGTAGAACAAATATAGTAAATTCGTAGAACACCGTAGGATGTCATATGATATTCTCCAATTTGTTCTTTGACGGTCTGCCTTACTGCCACTTAACCAAGGTTGACGTATACCCTGTCTTTTTGTCAGATATTAATTTCTATTAACATTTTGCTACGCATGGGAAACTGTTTTGAGTCTTACCATATTAAATTGACAGATTACACTGGTCGAAATTTCTGTAAAGTCACAATATTTTTGGATGAATTCTTATAATTATTTCATAACATTGAAAAATTTATGTTTGGTAGCATGTTGGGATTAATTAAAGAAAGCGTACACATCAGTTTTAAAAAATAAATATACCATATATTTAAAAAAGAAAACAAAAATATAATTCTGCGAAATTTCTAAAACGTCATTCGCTTTTTACACAAATAAAGTTGAAATTAACAATTGTTTTTCACTATTTCTATATTAATACTTAGTGTAACCTCCATTTTTTAGAAATTAAAATACAATAACAGATAGGATGGAGCAATAAAAATGATGGTATTTTGAAAATATCTATGAAAATGAAGATGATTTTGTAGAAATTTCGGCTAGTGTATTTTCAAAATACCACTAATTGTATGGCTCCATCGTATCTGTTTTTGTATTTTCATTTTAAAAAGTGAATGACTTGACTTTTTAGAAATCTCGCAGTTTGTTTTCTGGTGAATTATATTTTTGTTTGTTTTGTTAAATAAATGGTATATTTATTTTTTAAAACCGATGTGTACGCCTTCTGTAATTATTCCCAACATGCCAGCAAACACAAATTTTTCATTGGTATGAAATAATTACAAGAATTCGTCCAAAAACATGGTGACTGTAGAAATTTCGGCCAGTGTAGTTTTCGGTATACAGTTTCAGACTATAAATATTTTTTTACAGTAAAGTTAAATGACTATTTTCTTGAAGTTAAATAACTAGTTACTAAGCACAAATACGTTTACTTCTACATGTATCATATACATAGAAGAGTTTACAGGTAGACCGGCAGTAGTTCTTGAATAAGACATGCCGGCTTTAGGTAAAAGATTTTATGCTGACAGTACAGCCGCTAACATGTTAACACGCTATTGGTCGGTAGTGTAAAATTAGATGTTGTAAAAACTAACGTTAACAGCCGGTCGTTTAAAAATCGATGTTTCGGACTCACAGCCGTTTTGTCTGTACTGAAAATTTTCGTGCACACAGACGCGAAATAAACTTTCAGAACTTTATTAAAAGTATTTAATATTATACAAAGTTATACATACATAATACTAAATTTGTAACATTTTTCCGTAAATTGGTAAACGGTGCTGCCGACCTTAAGCAATAATCCACGCAGAAATTCGCAGGCTATAGGCAGCGATCAGCGCAGAAAGTCGACGACCGATGTGTGTGTTAGGTATCTATTGTCGACAAGTCAAAAATAGATCTTATATTGGATCTCTTTGACCCTTAACGATTAGAATTCAGCACCCTCAACTATCAAACAGTCCGAGTACTGTACCCGTTGATATGCATAATACATGTCCTATAATTACAGTTATACAGTTAACACAACTTTTTAATAGTGAAATTCATCATTAACAGCTTACACCTGAAGGGTATCGTTTATCATATTATTTAAGAGTGTCTGAAGCAAGTATTTTATATTTCGTTCATTAAGTATTCGTCGACTAAAATGAATGAGATTATTTGTCAAGTAGACGAAGTAACAGATACTTTAGAATTTGAAATACCTTTTTCAAAGTTCACATACCTTGATTGATCCCTGTTTAGACTTTGTGATGCGTAACCCAAATCTTGTAATGACGGTGCTGTAAATAACAGATAACATTCGGACAGTAAATAATCAACGTTTTACTTAACGGGACATTTATGTGGCTCTCAAAAATGTCACAATATTCTTTTCACGCATAATACGTTGTTCAGATACAACCGTGACTCAAGATCCAATTCCTTTCTCTCAAACCCTTTTTCAAAGACCTATTCGAATAATAAAGGTCTGTACTCGTTTATGAACTTGTTTGATTTACAGCTTCGCTATTTTTCTACGGTCGACGGTACACAAATTAAAAAAAAAGCATTAAACTGGAGCACCCACATTATCATCCTACAAAAACACAACAGTAACGAGTAATCAATCAGAAGTAAATACTCATAGCGAGTAGTTCAGCCTCGACAGTTGAACTATCAATAGGCAACCTACCAGAGACCTTTATTTGAACTAGCTCCAACATATAAAGTTACCGGAGAGTAGCGCACGATCGCAAAGTATTTCGTCAGTCTAATCTAAGCGACAACTGCACGTTCCACTTACAAAGTCAAGATGACTTTCATGTACTTTAAATGTATCGTAGTGTAATTGCTAGATTTCAAGGTGATTACAGTCATCGCGGAAAGTTGGTTGAGGACTCATAGCGCGCGAATAAAAAATTGTTACAAAAAGCGTTTCACTAATCGAAGTTAAAAAATTATTGACAATTGTGCCACAATACTGGTTACTGAAAACGAATGTTCCTGTTTTATTTAGCACAAAAATATCATTTTTAAAAGAGTAATGTAATTACTCTATTCGTGGGATAGTATCAATATAATATTCCTCTGGTGAAATCTACATTGATCTGCTTATTCTCATGACTTTCAACAATACTTGCTGAAGTTGAAATTTTATGTTTTTCTATATGATCTGGTTTTTATAGTCATTTTTTAAATATTTTATTCCATATTGGCTAATTTTTATCAATTTTTTGTTAATCATAAGTTCCACTAAATAATTAAATTTCACTTAAGTTTAAGTATGAAAGATGTTATTGCAACATGTAAGTATTATCATATTGCCAGTATTACAACTTGTATAATTTCATAGTACTAGCTTATTTTTACCTTCTTTTCCTACATAAGTTTACTACTTTAATATTCGTACAATTTTATTTAACAATAAGTGAAAAAGAACGAACATTTGCTTCTTTCGCTCTAAACAAGTGTATTTTCTGAATGTGGCTTAATAAATAATTGCAACAATTTACAATAATATATAAATTTCAGGTTGCCGTTCCAGATGTCGTCGAAGCTGCAAAAGATGCGGATATTCTTATATTTGTAATACCTCATCAATTCATACGAACTTTATGTGCAACATTGTTAGACAAAATTAAACCAACTGCAGTTGGATTGTCATTAATTAAGGTAATCATTTCTGAGGACATTTTAATGGAAAGGCTTTTAATGGACGTGATATAATATTTTAGAATCTTTGTTTAGGGTTTTGATAGGGGAGATGGAACGAACATCGAATTGATCTCCAAAATTATCGAAAAACACTTGAGAATTCAGTGTTACGTTTTAATGGGTGCCAATCTGGCTAATGAAGTCGCTGAAGAAAAATTCTGCGAAACAACTATTGGTAATACAAAAAATCCAGTTACATATAAATATCTAATATTTTGTTAAATATTAAAGTTTAAGTATTAAATAAGATATATAAGTAACATGTCGTATAATTTATTGACATAAAATTCGACTATTAAAGAAAAATAATTCCAGTAAAATATTAAATTTTCGACTCATTTTTGTTTGTGTCAATAAATTATACGATATATTACTTCTATATTTCACCATTATATTTTAGATACATGCATCATAAACTAAGAGCTAAAAATTTCAATAAGAAACGCTATTGTAGCGATAGGTACGAAATAATTTTTAATTGTATATTTGTTTACTTTTTTATAGCTTTGAATAGATATGGTTGCAATGCATTCCTACTGCAAAAGGCTAGTGGAACTTGTTAATAAATTGCTTCGATACACTTCAATTTTGAAACGATTCAACTTCGTAGAAAAAAATAAAATTCAGAAATCATAATATATTTAAACGAAAAAAGTTCAATCTCAAGAAAAATGCTAAACGTAAAAATGTGTTACAAATTTTATATCTTAGAGAATATTTGTCATGACTAGACTGCAAAAGTTTATGGAAATTTACCATTTTTGATAACAATATCTAAAAATTCAAATTGAGCAGAATTTTGAGTTCTGTATTAGAAGCTTTACTACATTAATGATAATACATAAATAGTATAAAATTTTATTAAAACCTTTATTGTATTATATTTTTCACGTTAAGAGAAGCTATAAATGCATAAACATCCACAGTCTAGTTATGACTAATCGATTGATACCATTTTTAATCTGCCAACCAGGTGGGAACACTTGCAAAAATGAACTGCAAGTTCATAATTTAACGGCGTCGATGAAAAGCCTGTTCCTCTGTTCGTGGAATAGAGGGATACAAAGAATATCGTCCAATTGATAGTCTCCCAGTCAGCCAAACATGCAAAGCCAAATTTTGTCCAATGCCTGTTACAAAGTTGTGGCTACAAGTTTGATGCAAGATTTGTTATAAACACCTGCATACACATTGGCAGCAACATACGCAGCAAATTGGCAGCAACATATGCAGCAAATTGGCTTCCGCAAACCTTGATCCGATTTTGCCCTCAATTTGACATAGATCATATTGCAAGACTTTCTGCCAATTTTGCTTTACTATTTTGTTAGTTAGCGTTGCCTACAGAACCCAAGTCAAATGCGGAAATAGATGGCTATGGTTTTTTAGACAACTTTTGTCATTATTTGCTGACAATTTGTTCGAATTTTGTACACAACTGGTTATCAGGGTGTGCGTACTACCAATGTGCGCGCAAGGTGTTTGTACCAAATCTTGCATAAAACTTCTGGCCATAACTTTATAACAGGCATTGGACAAAATTAGGCTTTGCCGGTTTGGCTGACTGGGTACATCGTTAAATCCAATATTACTCTAAAACTGAACGTAGTTCTTTTCCACGTTTGTTGGATGTTATTCTCTCATCAGAATATCGATGTTTTGTGTTAAAGATAATAAAAAAAACTATAACTAACAGTGAACAATAAAATTTATCAGTATATCACAATTTATTTTAATTATTAACTATTTTAGGCTGCAGAGACAAACGACTAGCGCCACTATTGAGAGATCTCATTCAAACACCGAATTTCAGAGTGGTAGTTGTAGAAGACTGTGAAGCAGTTGAAGTGTGTGGCGCATTAAAGGTAAATTAAAAACAAGTATTACCATTCGAGTAGATTTTCCAATAATTCTATGTACCCAAATTGCGAATTGAATTCCAGAACATTGTGGCATGCGCTGCTGGCTTTGTAGATGGTATGGGATTAGGCGATAACACAAAAGCAGCTGTCATCAGATTAGGGTTGATGGAGATGGTTAAGTTTGTAGACACTTTTTATAGTGGTTCAAAACTTTCAACATTCTTTGAAAGTTGCGGTGTAGCAGATTTAATCACTACTTGCTACGGAGGAAGAAATCGCAGAGTGTGCGAACAATATGTAAAATCTGGCAAAGTATGAATCATGATACTCTATATGTATACATATTTATCTTCTAATTAAGACAGGTCTGGTCAAACATTCGTCCGTGGGGCCACATAAATAATAATACCAGCCCCCACCAATCGCTTGTGTTATTGTTTATGTGACCCCACGGACGAATGTATGGCCAGGCCTGACTTAAAAGTATTAACGAACCTATTTCATATGCTGCTTTAATATTTTCTCGACAGACAATCAAACAACTTGAGGACGAACTTTTAGGTGGACAAAAGTTACAAGGTCCAGCCACTGCCGATGAAGTTCATGGAATGTTAAAGGGTCGTAATTTAACTGAAAAATTCCCGTTATTTACTGCAGTACATCGTATTTGTACTGACCAAATAAGGCCAGCAGATTTACTTGATCAAATTCGCAATCATCCTGAGCATGTGTTAGTATTCAATGAATATTTTTATTTAAAACTCAAATATTCACTAAATAACATGAAATATCAATATTCTCTTAGGTTTGCACCAAGGACATTGTACTTGTATTAACCACTGTTTTTACATTTTATATTGAAATAACATTAAAACTGTTATAACGACCAGAAACTCCCACATATATCGGGATTAAAAGTCTCAGAATTATTCTAAACTGCTTCTTACTAACAGAAAAGTAAAATCAGAAATGAAGAACGTAAGTTATGACTATGATTTTTCTTCCTGACTTACATCATAATTAAAATGTCTCTACTTAACATATCTCATTTTAAATTTACCAAATATTGAAGCATACAATCTTTATGTTTTTAGGATGAGAGTTGAAGGTGTTGAAGAATCGTAGTTGAGTGTTCAAGATCACTTAATATGAAACTTAATAAGGATCATATTATCCTCAAATTTAGAAATATTGCACATTTTGAGTACAAATAGACTCATGTGAATCAACAATATTGATTTAAATATACTCGTAATAATTCATTATTAGTTCATATTACAGTATAACAGTTCTTTGTGTACACAAATGTATGACTGTACTATGAAATATGTAATAAAAAGCTGAACGTTACTCTAAACATTATTACAATTTCTTTTCTAATAAAGTTTAAAAGAATCATTCGAACATTACAAAAAGTAGTTACTAAATAAATAATTTTTAATTATTATTTTGGGTTATCCTTCGAAGCTGCTTTTGACTTACATTTACTATTAATAGATTGAGTATCACAATCCTTGTAAGGTACATTGTCCAATAATTCTGTATCAGGTGTGATATGAAGTTCTGAAACATTGCATGACACATTTATTAACCAAATCATGAATTATGTAATTCATTGTAAATTTAGAAATATTACCAAATTTTCCAGGTTCTTTCTCAACTGCTTGTAACACAGTCGTCCGCACTTCGCGTTCCACTTCGTGTGCAAAATTGTTCAACTGAAATAATATGCATATTATAATAATTTGATAAAAGTGTAAAATTCAACATGCTAAAAAGATTACAATGACGCGATAAACATCGAAAGTACATCAAAACTACATTAAAAGGTATAATACAAGGTAAAATCATCCAAACCTCATTTTTTCTTATTGTTAGAAAATTACAAGTACTCAAACGATTCACTGTTACGTTATAAATATTCGGATGTTTACGCAATTTCAGAATTTTCGATCCTATTATATGAAAGTCATAAGAAAATCAACATAATTCCACTTCCTGTGGCAAACAGAGATCCTCTAGCAGTAACTCTAACCTGTTCGGTTTTTACAATTAGTATAGGTCTGCAACAGGCGGATCTATATACACGGGTCTACCCATTTCTTTTTTTTGCGCGCGGGGGGCGGGCCTTGTAAGGCGATACCGTCTCCGCTGGAGGCTGAGACGACCTGTGCAGGATTTCACCACGCTAACAACCTGCCGGTGACCCTCTCGGGCGTGAGAACCGGTTACCCGAGCCCACCCGAACCACTCCAGCCGTGTGGCTTTTATGGCCTGATTGCTTCCGCTGGGTCCCGGTCTTAGGATTTGGACAAGTCAACTGCCGATCAAATGTTGGAAAACTTTTGCTCATAGTACCTGTCTAAAATAGGTACTGTCGGTGAAAGAGCTTTCGTGGAGCGGGACCCCCGACTGATTTTACAACTAGGCATTTTGTGGGTGACCGAAGGGTCATTAATGAAACCGCATCCAGGGCCGTGCGTATCTTACAGAAGTATATTTACTTTACATCTCAGGTCCCTGTCATCTCTTGCTCAGTAATATGTAATTTGCGAATTAATAAAGGGTAACATATAGTTGTCAAAGATTAGGAAATATATAAACTTCTTCCGTGAATGTAGCAAGTTAAACATTCGTTTACGACGAATATGTATTAGCACGAATATAATAGCAACTCTAGAATGGCAAATTAGTTTCTTTCAATCTTGAAAGGTAGATGACGTGTAATAAAACCGAAATTTCCGAAGGGTAAGTTCAAAATTAATTGTAACGGTTTGGAGACCGACGAGTTAGGACCTAAAGGAAATTCCGGGTTTTTATTAGATCACCATGCACCTTGGATAGTCCAGGTATCACCATTCCCCCCCAGGAGGCGCGGGGGCAAGAAGGCCGGAAAGGCCGGGGGTCCGGGAGGGGGTACCGTTGGAGCTGCGGGGCAGCGGCCGGCGGCCCCTCCCTCCTCCTCCTCTGCCCCCCGCGCGGTGCAGCGGCAGCGGCGGCAAGAGCCCGCGAGCGCTCTGCGGCCCGTAGACGCCCCGGCCATCTGGTCGGAGGTCGTCGGCCGCAAGGAGCGCCGCAAGCGGGCCAAGGCCGCTGCGCCCCCTCCTCCGGCGGCGCCGGCGCGAGAGAGGGCGTCTGGGCGTCCGCCGCGTGCCCCCAAGAGGGCCGCGGTGGCGCTCACGGTCGCCCCGGGCAGCTCGACCTCGTATGCGGAGGTCCTGCAGAAGGCGAAGTCCGGCGTCCGTCTGGCGGACGTCGGCATCGCAGACCTCCGCTACCGCAAGGGCCAGACCGGGGCCTCGATACTGGAGGTCCCGGGGCCGGAGAGTGCTGCCCGGGCAGACGCCCTCGCGTGGCGCCTGGAGGATGTATTCAGCGGGACCGACATGCGCGTCAGCAGGCCCGTCAAGACCGCCGAGGTGCGGCTGACGGGCCTCGACGAGTCGGTCACCGCGGAGGCCGTGTCGGAGGCGGTGGCTGCGGTCGGTTGTTGCACCGCTGCCGAGGTTCGGGTCCGCGTCGTTAGACGCAATCGATCCGGCCTCGGCGGGGTGTGGGTGAGGGCCCCCCTGGCTGTGTCATTGGACATAGCCAACGCGTTCAACACCCTCCGCTGGGACGCGGTGCGCGGGGCGCTCCGGGACCACGGAGTGCCCCCGTATCTGCGGGCCGTCCTACGGGACTACCTGACGGACCGGTCGATAGAGTACCCCTGTCGAGGGGGTGCTCTCGTGAGCCGGAGGGTCTGCCGAGGAGTTCCCCAGGGGTCCGTGTTGGGCCCGCTGTTGTGGAACCTGGGGTTCGACTCGGCGCTGCGCGGGCCCCTCCCCCCCGGTGTGCGTGTCGTGTGCTACGCCGACGACACGCTCGTCATCGGGCTGGGGAGGGACGTGGCTAGGGTCAGCCGCCTGGTCGAGGTGGCGGTGGCCACGCTGGCCAGGGGAATCCAGGGGCTGGGGCTGAGTGTGTCGCCGCCCAAGACGGAGGTGGTCCTATTCCACGGACTGCCTCTGTCGCGGCGAGCGCCCCAGGCCTGGATTCGGGTCGGGGATACGGCCGTCCGGGTCGGGGAGAGGTTGAAGTACCTCGGCCTTGACCTGGACGGCCGGTGGAGGTGGGAGGGCCACTTCGGCCGCCTCGTCCCCCGGATCGAGGGAGTGACGACCCTACTGGGTCGTCTTTTGCCCAACCTCGGGGGTCCGGGGGAGGGGGTCCGCCGCCTTTACACGGGTGTGGTGCGGGCGATGGCGCTCTACGGGTCTCCCGTATGGGCGCCCAACCTGGCGACCTGCCGGCGCGGCCGGCAATTGCTGCGCAGTGTCCAGCGCCGCATGGCCGTCAGGATCGCCCGCGGATACCGCACCCTGTCTCACGAGGCGGCGGTCGTCCTGGCGCGGGTCGTGCCGTTCGAACTCCAGGCGGTGGTCGACGCCGAGGTCTATCGGCGTCGGCAGGCACACCGCCGGGAGGGCATCGACCCGCCGCCCGAGGCGGTCGGGGGGTGGAGGCGAGCCTTTGGTCGGCTCGCCAGGGAGGCGTGGCGGCGCCAGCTGGTGGTCAGCGGCGCCGCCCGGCAGCGGGCCGTGGGGGCGGTCCTACCCGTGTTTGATGCATGGATGGACCGCCGCCACGGCCGGTTGACGTACCGCCTGACGCAGGTGCTCTCCGGACATGGTTGTTTCGGGGAGTACCTGCTGAAGGTCGGTGCTGAGGAGACGCCTGGCTGCCACCAGTGCGGCGCGGAGCTCGACTCCGCGCAACATGCACTGGAGGAGTGTCCGGCCTTCTCCAGGGAGAGGCGGGCACTCCGATTGGCGGTCGGGTGGGACCTCTCGCTCCCTGCCGTGGTCGCTGCCATGGTGGAGAGCGAGGGGTCGTGGAGGGCGGTGTCCTTCTTCTGCGAGACCGTGGTCTCGCGGAAGGAGGACGACGAGCGGGGTCGGGAGATAACCGACCCCGCTCGGATCGAGAGGAGGAGGGCGAGGCGCGCCGGGGGTCGGCGGCTGGCCGCCGCCCCGGCCGCGGGGGGACCTGGTGCCCCCTGAGCCCTCCCTCCTCTCGGCCGGTCGCCGAGCGACCGGCACGACGCGGCGACCCCGCACGATTGGCGACGACGGGCCCTTGGGCTCGCCTGCCTGTTGCGTGGTCGCCGAGCATGCGGGGGTGTATTGACACCCCTGCCCAGAAGTGCCCGCGCTGATGCCGCCGCCGGGGGGGGGCGTTAGTTCTTCCCGGCGGTGTGCTTTCTTATTCCCTGTGTGGCGGGGAACAGAATACGCCCACGGTAATCCCTGCCTGTCGTAAGAGGCGACTAAAAGGGACCGTTGGGATCGCGGGACTGTGGCACCCGCGGTCCGGCAGGGGGGGAGCTCTCCGCTTCCCCCACCACAGAGAGGGCGCTCCGCCGTCAACTGGCGGAGCCGGCGCTAGGGAGGTACCGGTTGCGTTCGCAAGAGATCCCGGTGCCTCCCCGCATAGCGCCGAGCCCGGCCACCGTGAGGGTTTAGTTGGTATTCCCCCTGGGCTTCGCCCTATTGGGGGTGAGTCCCACACTACCCTCGCCCACTCCTCCCACATTGGGGGATGGCGTGGGTGTGCGTAAATGCATTCCCTCACGTAAAAAAAAAAAAAAAAAAAAGGATATCTCAACCAACAAATATGTTAAGGACAAAGTTGAATGGATCGATGGGGCTCACCCGATACCAACAAAATTTTTGTCTTTATGTCTGCTACGAGTAGGTATAAGTACAATATTTCTTGTAAATAGGTATAAGTATAATGTATGTTACGAATAGGCATAAGCATAATGTTTGTATAAGTTTGGTGTCAGTTGACTCATTTGCATCAGTTTCTTTTCCTACTTAGCTCGTACTTTCAATCAGGAAGACCTGGGCCCTTGGGGAAGGTCGAAATTGTAAGTCAGTTTGTGCTCCTCTTAATTTAAGATTAGACACGAAGAAATTAGAATGGACGAATGTAACCGATTCTGATCTAAATGGGTTGATATTGATAAATTAATGTAAGATTATTGAATTTAGTGAACGTATTAGATTAAGGACCAAAATTGTATGTGTGTGTGTGGACGTGCGTGACGATGAGGGTTGCTTAAGGAAAGACCACAGCGGAATGATCTATTACATCTTGAAGGGTAAAGTTACTTAAAGCGCGCCAGTTCTCGTTGACAGAAAAGAGCGACTACGCAACAGTGTGTTGTCGCTAATCAAGCCAAGCTTGTAAAGGAAGGTGTGGAAACATCAAACTTAGGCCGCCACCAACCTCAAGAAGGAATCTAACTCCCGGACAATGAAGGTTAAACAGCGTGCACGGTGAGGC